TTTTTGCTTTTTGTTTGTGAAACAAGGTCAGAGGAAGCTGGTTCTGGTTTGTCATTGGACTCGGTGTTACACCATATTTTGTGACCTGCAACAGTGCATGCAACACCACCCCCTACGGTCACAATATACGGTGGTCACAGAAAATGGTATAACACTGGTTTGCAATGAGCTCCAAACAGTCAGGAAGTTGATTCATTTTCTGTTTCCTTACGGTAGTTAAACCGGAAGATTCATCTTTAGTGAAATATTTTCATACTACATCATTCTAGAGAAAATAGTTGCAGGTCAGTTGCGTGAACATCTACAAATAAATAATCTGTTTGAAGAGTTTCAGTCAGGGTTTAGAGCTTATCATAGCACAGAAACAGCACTAGTAAAAGTAACTAATGATATTCTCATGGCCTCAGACAATGGACTTGTGTCATACTGGTCCTGTTAGACCTCAGTGCTGCATTTGATACAGTTGATCGCAATATTTTACTACAGAGGCTTGAATATGATATTGGGATTACAGGAACAGCTCTAAAATGGTTTAAATCATATCTATCTGATAGATTCCAGTTTGTAAATGTAAATAATAAATCTTCTTCATACACCAAAGTTAGTCATGTAGTTCCTCAGGGCTCAGTGCTTGGGCCAATACTCTTTACTTTATATATGCTTCCATTAGGTAAAATTATTAAACAGCATGGGATAAATTTTCATTGTTATACTGATGACACACAATTATATTTGTCCATTAAACCCAATGAATCCAATCAGTACTTAGACTACAAGCATGTCTTAAAGACATAAAAACCTGGATGACCCTTAATTTTCTCCTGTTGAACACAGACAAGACCGAGGTTTTAGTTTTTGGACCTGAGCACCTCAGGAATTAATTTTTTAGTCTTTCTCCCTCCTTAGATGGCATTAATCTGTCCTCCAGCTCTAATGTTAAAAATCTTGGTGTTATTTTTGATCAGGACATGTATTTTATCCCCAACATTAAAAACTTTACTAGAACTGCCTTCTTCCACCTGCGTAATATCACTAAAATTAGAAACATCTTATCTAAAAATGATGCAGAAAAACTGGTCCATGCATTTGTCACATCTAGACTGGATTATTGCAATGGTTTATTATCTGGATGTCCAAATACTTCTTTGAAACATCTTCAGTTGATCCAAAATGCTGCTGCCAGAGTCTTAACTGGAGTTAGGAGAGATCATCCCTCCAGTTTTAGCTTCTCTCCATTGGCTCCCTGTCAAATCCAGAATTGAATTCAAAATCTTACTTCTAACCTACAAAGCTCTCAACAACCTAGCTCCATCTTATATTACAGATCTTATTGTTCCATATTTTCCTAACAGAGCACTTCGCTCTCAGGCTGCAGGTTTACTTGTGGTTCCTAGAATTTACAAAAACAGAATGGGAGGCAGATCTTTCAGTTATCAGGCTCCTCTCTTGTGGAACCAACTTCCAATCTCTGTCCGTGAGGCTGACACATTGTCCAGTTTTAAAACTAGGCTCAAGTCTTTCTTTTTGCTAAATCCTATAGTTAGGGTCGGCTTGGGTTTCCTGAGCTGTCCTTTAGTTATGCTGCTATAGGCTTAGACTGCTGGAGGACAAACTGACCACACTTTTCACTCTGCTACTGTCTTTACTTACTCTGCTCAACCTGTTTTGTATTTGTAATTATTTTTTCTATCCTTAACATGTGTTTTTTTGTCTTTCAGATACATCTGGACCTATACCTGGACCTACCATTCTGTGTTCGTCTGTTTCTCCTTCCTGTCCTTTCAACCAGCCGGTCAAAGCAGATGGTCGCTTGTCCTGAGCCTGGTTCTGCTGGAGGTTTCTTACTTTTAAAAGGGAGTTTTTCCTTTTCACTGTTGCCACCGTGCTTGTTCAGGATGGGAGACTGCAACGAAGCCAAGATTCAACTTGTCTGCTGATTCCTTAGAGAACTTTACTAATTGGCTTTTATGTGAATGTTTCTGTAAAGTGCCCTGAGACAACTTTGCTGTGATATGGCGCTATATAAATAAACTGAATTGAATTACATATATATTTCTACCTGTTTGCCAAGACTGGGCCTGCTCCGCTCAGTCATTTGGTAGCATTTACAAGTAGCCCGGTGCGGATTACGTGACACAATGACGTCACTGCGAATACTTGACGTGAAATTTCAAAGCTCGATAGATGTCCTAGGAATCGACCTGTCGATTACTCGAGTAGGCTGTTAAAGCCCTACTGTCTCCCTCGTTCTTGTTTTTTTGGTTTTCAAAATGGCGGATGCTTGGTATGTTTTGACCTCTTTAGCATAGCATTTGTCACACAGAGCTTTTAATAAAAAAAATCAGTAAACAAGTTCTCAGCTTCTTTTTGCAAAGAAAAACAATTTTTAGACTAAGGCATAGGTTTCAACCGTGGATTTTGGAGCTTGGACAAGACAGAGGTTTTTTTTAACCGAGATCGGCCTGTTAGCTTAGCTTGTAGCTTAGATTCTCAGCTTAGCTGTTTTTAACAATCCAAAAAAGCAATTTTGGACGGTTAAAACAGATCTTAAAAAGAAAAGAGAAAGGGAGGGGTCAGTGAAGAACACCGGAGTTGAGCCTTTAGTCATCCAGTGTCTTCAGTAGAAAGAGAGAGAAACGTAGAAAAACGATAAAGCCGATAAATGAAAATGAGGTTGATAATTTTCATTTATCATGCAATTAATTGATTTATTGTTTATCGCGACAGGCCTAAGCACAAGCTCATGGGTGCAGTGCGCAGCATATATACATCTGTGGTGTGCAGGAGGAAGATTAAGATAGCAATCAGTGACTACTGTATATTTTTTCAGCCAGTCATGTTTACAGGCACGGCTCCGAAAAAAAAAAAACATTTACTGTACGTATTTGTGTATGTTACCAGTGTGTATTAAAAGTTAAAAAAAATCTTTCAGTGTAAATATCTCATATTGCAACGTGGACACCCATAGACAAATATAGACACTTATAGACAAGTGTGGCCTATATTTGTACAAAACTATTTTTCTTTTTAAATTTAGTGGACGCAGATTATATTCAGATGCGCTCTATTGTCCAGAAATTACAGTACTAAATATATTCTCCAAAAAAAGTGTAGTTGCACTTACCCACCAGTGGGGGTCATTGGTGGTCGTAACCACAATGACTTCATCTTTAAAGAAAGCAAGCTGCTCAGAGCTGACTGCTCTGCAGTCCACCAAAGCCTTGACACGCTTCAGTGGCCTGGTTCCAGAAACCTGCAGGAGACATGAGATCCAATTCTCAGTGTACCATCAGGAAGGTCAAACTCCTGTCCTGAAGCTGAAAACTGAAGACTGCAAGCTAAAGCCCCCAATATAGTCCCACGTAAGTACGTCCGCACGGAGGTACACGCGTGCGTATGTGGAGGGTTGAGACTTCATGCTCGAGCGTCCACCCTGAGCGGCTGCAGAGCAGCTTCGCAGACAAGGGGTGTTTACCTTCGGGACAAATTGAGGTTGCCGATTGGTCATTTGTTGACACGCCTACTGGATTGATTGACAGGTAAAAAAAAACTAAAACGAGAGCTGGCACCCCCAGTCGCAGCAGTGTTCTGTGTTGATATGTTGTTAATAAAAAGTTCTAAAAAATAAAAAAAAACAGGGAGTGCTGGCCCTGCAGCCCACACATCAGATCAGCCCAACAGGAAATCTCCAGACCCTCCCATAGCCACGCTGGGACTGATTTTAATTTGCTCGTGACAAATTCCTTAATTTCTCACCATTTCAGTCATGGCATCAACGGAGGAGGAAGAGATCGCTTGCCTCTTGACAAAAAACAAAACAAAAGAAAAGGCCAAATCAGGGATGAAGAAGGGGAATTTAATACATTGGTGTTGCATACAAAACAGTCCGTCGCTGGGCAGTTTATTGTGCGACACTGCGTACGTAAAAATTGAGCTTTGCGCAGACATGCCCTGCAGAGGTACGCGTGTACCTCCACGTACGTACACGCGTACCTCTGCTTACGGATGTATGCAGGAGTATACTGGGGGCTTAACAAAACAACACCCTGTGGTTTCTGTATGACGGGGTACCATTGCATTCCTGCGGGAACGTGAGGAGCAGGTCGCAGTCGGTGAGGATGAGGATGGAGCTGAGGAACTTGTGTTATTTTCCCCAGGGCTGCAGTACAACTCCTCCTGGCTGCCCACACACCTTCCCTGGCTGCTTCCTCCACTGCTGCGGCGATATGAGGTGGTCTTCTCTGAACTAGAACATTTCATCAAATTATAAGAACTTACAACAAAGAAAGGGTTTATGTAGGAAGTTATTCACTCAGATCAGGCAGATAGTATTATTTGATGATTGCCAACGTGAGTTTTTCCTAACCTGACAGGTCCTGCAGGATTCTGAGGGGATACTGGTGTAAAACTACTTTGTGATCCTGAACTAGCGCTAGTTTGGCCGTCCCATGTCTGCCTGTGAGTCTTTTGCAGACATCCTTGTCCGTGTGGGGACTTCGGGGGTCTCCGACTCTGGCTTGGACTCTCTGAATTAGGTAAAGAAGAAGCGTGCCTCGCTTGTATCTGAGGAGTGGAGGTGTGGGAGGCTGGGTTAGAGCTGCGTCGTCGAAGGTTACTTCCATCTTGTGTTATGACAGAAATCTGAGGCTCTGAGCGACCTGTGCAGGACCAAGAGTAACACTATAAATCAGTAAAACTAACAAGGACTGATTTAGTGTCTATAAACCGTGACGTACCTCTTTGAACTGATTTAGCTGGCAGTGGTGGTGGCGGCATTGAAGCTCCAGAAGGGGCACTATTGGCCGGAGGATTTCTATACAGAAAATCCAGATTCTCATACGTCTGACAGGGCTTACTGCTCGTATTATTACTGCTGCTCCATCGAGCAAAAGGAGATACACCACCTCCATTTGATGATGGAGGAGAGCGGTTCTTGGTTACTGGGCTCACCTGGAGGAAAGTGGAAATGATGGAAACCTCACATTTAAAAAAAAATCCAGTACCACAGACTATCAGACATTTTTAAAGTCTAAGGACATAATTTTCTGCAAATGTTTACTATAAACTGACTGTACAGGTGCTGGTCATAAAATGAGAATTTCATGAAAAGTTGATTTATTTCAGTAATTCCATTAAAAAAGTGAAACTTGTAGATTAGGGTATATTCATTCATTACACACAGACTGATATATTTCAAATGTTTATTTATTTTCATGTTGATGATTATAACTGACAACTAATGAAAACACAAAATTCAGTATCTCAGAAAATTAGAACATTACTTAAGACCAATAAAAAAAGGATTTTTAGAAATGTTGGCGAACTGAAAAGTATGAACATGAAAAGTATGAACATGAAAAGTATGACCATGTACATCACTCAGTACTTAGTTGTGGCTCCTTTTGCCTGGATTACTGCAGCAATGCGTTGTGTCATGGAGCCGATCAGTCTGTGTCACTGCTCAGGTGTTCTGAGTCCAGGTTACTCTGATAGTGGCCTTCAGCTCTTCTGAACTGTTGGGTCTGGTGTATCACATCTTCCTCTTCACCATACTCCATAGATTTTCTATGGGGTTAATGTCAGGCAAGTTTGTTGGCCAGTTTAGAACAGGGATACATGGTCCTTAAACCAGGTACTGGTAGCTTTGGCACTGTGTGCAGGTGCCAAGTCCTGTTAGAAAATGAAATCTGCATCTCCATAAAGTTGGTCAGCAGCAGGAAGAATGAAGTCTCTAAAACTTCCTGGTTGACAGCTGCACTGACCTTGGACCTCAGAAAACACAGTGGACCAACACCAGCAGATGACATTGCACCCCAAACCCTCACTGACTGTGGAAACTTGACACTGGACCTAAAGCAATGTGGATTCTGTGCCTCTTCTCTCTTCCTCCAGACTCTGGGACCTTGATTTCCAAAATAAATGCAACATTTATTTTCATCAGAGAACATAACTTTGGACCACTCAGCAGCAGTCCCAGGCGAGACGCTTCTGACACTTTCTGTTGTTCAAGAGTGGCTTGTCACAAGGAGTGCAACAGCTGAAACCCATGGCTTGCATGCTTCTGTGCGTGGTGGCACTTGAAGCACTGACTCCAGCTGCAATCCACTCTTTGTAAATCTCCCC